GAGAACTTGCACAATTGGTGGCTAACTAAATACTTTTTTTGCCCCACTGTATCTCCACCACATCTAGAGTGTAGTCTACAAACTGTTTCCATGTAAAGAAATTGTTAATCTTGGGTCTGATTTGATAGTTCCACACTTAATTTTTTTATTACATAACATTTTTTTTGTCTCTTTATAATTCTGAAATGTTTTACTTCCATACTTGATGTTTGCTGTCAGGAAAGTTCCTCTTCTATGGGGTAATACCCATTTGAATTGCGTAACAAAAGGCTTCCTAGGGGACTTCTAGATTTAGCCAAAAAATCTCCTGGGAAGGAGATAAGGCACCTCATAAAAGCGCAATTAAACATTTCACAAATGCAGGAAAGAGTTGCAGTAGTATTGCCAATTGTAAAAGAACATACAGTACAACAGGGGTGCCCCAGTCTACACTTCTTCACCTAGCGGCAGGGTGCTGGTATAGACTCCCACCATTGAGCGCAAAAAAGCTTTGCTAAGTGCCAGGATCCCTTTGAAGTTATTGAGAAAGTTGGAAAAGTAAGCTACAAAGTTCATCAACCAGGAAAAAGAAAGCATGGACAAACATACAATGTAAAATTGCTGAAGCTCTGGAAAGACAGGGTGTCACTAACTAAAGAGTTCACCTTGGATGCATTTCATGTGAGTACTGAGGCCCTTCGGGTTCCTGAAGTGGAAATCATCGATGCGCAGTCTAGTTCCCATAAACAGGAGACCAGAGAGTTCCTTTAACACATTTTTCGCAATTACTTGGCCAGACTTCAGTTGTACATGACATTATTACTGAACCATGGGTCCATGTTAAACCTAATGAAGCACAGAGGAAAGATGTCAACGAGGAAGTAAAAAAAAATGCTTACGTTAGGCATAATTGGGGAGTCCGACAGTGACTAGTCTAATCCCTTTGTAGTAGTCCCAAAACCAAATGGTAGTTTTATGGTTTTGTAAAGACTTTAGGAAATTCAATTTAATGGCAAGATTTTACACTTTTCCCATGCCTTGGGTAGACAGGCCCATAGAAATATATTGGACAGCCCGTTATCTGACAACTTTGGACTTGACAAAAGGGTATTTGCAGATTACCCTAACTGAAGTGCTAGGAAAAAGACTGTGTTTGTAAATCCTGACAGTTACTTGCAATATAAGAAGATGCTGTTTGGGTTACAGAATTCCCTTGCCACATTCCAGAGGGCCATGGACAGAAGTCTAAGACTCCATCAGCAGTATGCTGCCATGTTCCTAAACGATATATATACATGATACATAGCACTTACTTGCAATCTCACCTGCTTCATGCTCAGGCTGTATTGTACGGTCTCCATAAAGCAAGGCTCACTGCAAATACCAAAAAGTGTGTTATTGGTTTAGAGGAAGTCTATAGGTTGTAAAGTAAAAAAAACACAGTTACACAAAACAGAAGTCATCCAAGAATGGTAACATCCAAGGGCGGACTGACCATATGGGAACTCGGGCACTGCCCGAGGGCCCTGGGTCAGTAGGGGGCCCCATGAGATGCCCCTGGTACCTTTTTATAGGCTTTTTTGGGTGTGGTTGAGTGTGGGCGAGGACACGGGCCCATGATCCCCTTTTGCCCGGGGGCCCCATGAGTTTTCAGTCCGCCCCTGGTAACATCCCACAAACAAGAAACAGGTCAGATCTTTTCTTGGTATAACTTGTCACTACTGGAGATTCATCCCAAATGTTGCAACTCAAGTAAGCACTTTGACCGACCTTACCAAAGAGAAAAATTCTTTAATGGTAAAATGTTTTCCACAAGTGGAGGAAGCTTTCCATATCCTGAAGGGTACTCTTTGTGTGCAGCCAGTTCTATACTCCCCAGCTTTTTTTCAGGGACTTTGTAGTTCAGCCAAATGCATCCAATGTTTGTCTGGGGGTTGTGATGTGACAGGTACGGAATGGGGAGGAACACACCATAATATACCTGAGCTGAAAGCCAAATGAACAAAATACGACATATGCATTGATTTACAATGTAGTTCAGCCAAATGCATCCTATGTTCGTCCAGGGGTTTTGTTGTGACAGGTATGGAGGAGTGGGAGGAACACACCATAATATACCTGAGCTGAAAGCCAAATGAACAAAATACGACGTATGCATTGATTTACAATGAATGTTTAGTGAGCATTCGACACAAACCGATATTATTTATTAGAGCACCATTTTGATCTTGTGCAACTATTCTCCCTTTAAATAGATGGCTGACAAGAAGGAGATGCAAATAGACACAAAAAACATTGTTTTTTGACCTTACAAGACTAAAGTTTAGCAGTGAACTATAGGCCGGGGGCAGAGATGAGTGTGGCAGGTGCACCAACCACGGGGACGAAACAAGGGGGAGTATATGTGGCAGAGTGGCCAGGAGAGAGTCTGATAAGGTCTGATTTAGTGCTTACATATCAGCCAGGTTCCTTTCAACCACATTCCAAACCTTCTGATCCACCCTAGGCTTGCATTTTCTCTCTTAATATGTTATAATTAAGAGATTGTTCATATTTTTCCTTCAGTCATAAAGGGGTCCCCTCCACCAACTCTAAAGGTCCAGGAGCTGTTCTCTTGAACAAGCAAGCAGGTGAACCAACCTTGGGGACAAAACAAGGGGGAGGTATATGTGGCAGAGTGGCCAGCAGAGAGTCTGATAAGGTCTGATTTAGTGCTTACATATCAGCCAGGTTCCTTTCAACCACATTCCAAACCTTCTGATCCACCCTAGGTTTGCATTTCTCTCTTAACATGTTATAATTAAGAGATTGCTCATATTTTTCCTTCAGTCATAAAGGGGTCCCCTCCACCAACTCTAAAGGTCCAGGAGCTGTTCTGTTGAACAAGCAAGCAATTCCACAAAGGACAATCCTAAATAACCGATTTCTTAGTTTCATTGATATATAAATCAACAAAACAGAATGTAGAACTGGAACAAAATTAATTATAAAAAGCAACCATACAGGGTCCAGCATTGTATAGCTAGCAATTGTATTGGTTAGAAAACTAAAAATCCAGATCAGGATAGAGCCAACCGTAAATTTCAGGGTCCGGCCATAGGCATCTGTACTGCTGTTTACATTTCTGAAATTGCTCATTCTATTCATGTGAATGCCAAGCAAAATAGTAAGAAGAGATGAAGTTATGAAGACCATTAGAAATATGAAAATTTCATACAAGTTGAAATATAACATCATCTTCTGCTTTTGTTTATAGTATGACTTGCCATCTTGTGTTGAATTCCAAAAAAAATTAGTTTGAGTGTCCAACATAAATATGGATGTGTATCCTAAAGACAGCATAGTAGGTGTAATAATTAGGTAGATGACCCTCCTTGATATGATGGCCTTCAGACGTAAGCAAAAGATGGTGTGAAAAGTGGAGATCTTGAAGTAAAGGAAGATGGAAAGCAGACTCGATAAGCAAATAGTAGAAATGGCTGAGTAATTAATTGTAAAGAATGCTAATATCAAAAGTATTTTTAGGAAATTTTGAAAGTACAGCGCTATGGAATGTAATAAGCATGACATTTGAAAGAAGATTCTTCCTATCCCGATAGAGGTGATTATTTTATCAGCATCTGTTATTGGTCTTCCCTTCATCCAGTCATTGAGATTCACAACTACAATGAATGACTGTATCGCCAAACCTGCCAATATTAATATTCCGAGACAAGCAAATCGAAACAGATATTGTGCTAAATGAATTCCATAGTAGACTTCCTCTGTAGAATTAGCCATCTTTGCAAATGAAAGAGATGTCTTTCAATAAGTGGGAGAGAAGTGCTCTTCATGTATTGATGGAAAAATTACTTCTTTGAATTTTAAATGCAAATTGTAATTAAAGTACGTTGGCTGTACTGATCTTTATACAAATAAAGAAGATGAGAGAACATCTGACACTTTCAAAATTCCGGTGGATGTTGTTATAAGATTCCAGAACACGAGGTGGAAAAATCATCTTTTATTGCAGGTACTGAGATTAAAGGGAAACTATAACACCGTATATTGGGACATAGGGCTCTTTGTGTTGTATCCAACAATTTTGCACAATAACTTTTACCATCATCCAAATGGAGACTTTAAATAAATAATATTTTTGTGACTGTGTAAAATACACAATTAAATCTCATAAATAAAGTGCAAAAAATGTGCTAACACACTCATAAATAGTGCAAAATATAAACAGTGCTAAATATTCATCCACTTTCAGCATGTGCTCAAGCCAGTGATCACTCTAGTACAGGGGCGGACTGACCATTTGGAAACTCGGGCACTGCCCGAGGGCCCGGGGTCAGTAGGGGGCCCCATGAGATGCCCCTGGTACCTTTTTCATAGGCTTTTTTGAGTTTGGGCAAGGACACAGGGGCCCCATGATCCCCTATTGCCCGGGGGCCCCATGAGTTGTCAGTCCGCCCCTGCTCTAGTGCGTGTATCCCCCAGTGGCTACAAGGATAAGCAGAAAGAAACTTCCATAGTGTAATATGTCAGTTTAATGAATAGAAAATGTCCTAGAAAATGTCTTATTTATCTATTTGGAAGTTGCATCCAGCAGAGTGAACAAGCGCAGTGACGTCATTTCCGGGTGGAGCTCGGTGACGCAGTTCCGGTGACGGACATCCGGTTTTTCGCCATCTTTGTTTCCTTCAATACACCCATAGCATATGGGAAACTGTGGATTGTAAACTAGTAACGTGAGTTGCCTATCTGTTTTTTTCTATTCATTAAACTGACATATTACACTATGGAAGTTTCTTTCTGCTTCTCCTTCCATGGACCTGATGTATATTGCTGAGCTTGTTCATACTATTTGAGTGGATATCGGTGAGAGAGGAGGTGGTGTGGAGCCATTGGGACCACTATTACCAGAGGGGAAAGAACCCAATCGGAGTTGAAACATCATATTATTTTATGATTTGTGGCCTTTAGGGGTCGAGTTAAGGAGGTGAGGAGGCACTCTAGCCACTGGGGGATACACGCACTAGAGCAGGGGTGGACTGACAACTCATGGGGCCCCCGGGCAATAGGGGATCATGGGGCCCCTGTGTCCTTGCCCAAACTCAAAAAGCCTATGAAAAAGGTACCAGGGGCATCTCATGGGGCCCCCTACTGACCCCGGGCCCTCGGGCAGTGCCCAAGTTTCCAAATGGGCAGTCCGCCCCTGCACTAGAGTGACCACTGGCTTGAGCACATGCTGAAAGTGGATGAATATTTAGCACTATTTCTATTTTGCACTATTTCTATTTTGCACTATTTATGAGTGTGTTAGCATGTTTTTGCACTTTATTTTATGAGATTTAATTGTGTATTTTACATTTGCCACTTTTTTTTTTTTTTTAGTGAATGTTCACAGTGTATTATTTCACGTTTATTAATTCATGGTATTTTTAGACATATACAGTTCAGTGAGTGGTCATAGCTTATGAATTTATGTGTATTTATATTTATGGTGTATATTAGAGATGCGAATTAATTCGCTACGAATTTAACTTATTAAAAGGGTTTCTAGGCTTCAGAGAGCCTTTAAATTAGTGCAGAACACTGTACCTTTAATTTAAATGCCCTTGGAGATGAAAACAAATGGAAACAAATAGATACAATGTTTCAACCGCTGTATGGAGTGAGTGTCCCAGAACTGTCATAAATAGTCTATTTCTGACAGTTCTATGACATTCCCTCCATACAGCGGTTTCAAAACCGCTGTATGGAGTGAATGTCCCAGAACTGTCATAAATAGTCTATTTATTCATAGAACTGTCAGAAATAGACTATTTCTAACAGTTCTGGGACATTCACTCCATACAGCGGTTGAAACATTGTATCTATTTTTTTCCATAAATGACATTCTGCAAATACACTTAGAGGAGCGCTGCAGATACACTTTTTGTCTTCTTCTTATGAGGATGAGGATGAAGAAGAAGAAGATGAAGAAGAAGTAGGATGAAAATAAGATTAATTCCAAGCTGGCAAAAAGTGTATCTGCAGCGCTCCTCTAAGTGTATTTGCAGAATGTCATTTATGGAAAAAAATAGATACAATGTTTCAACCGCTGTATGGAGTGAATGTCCCAGAACTGTCAGAAATAGTCTATTTCTGACAGTTATGGGACATTCACTCCATACAGCGGTTTGAAACATTGTATCTATTTGTTTCCATAAATGGATCCATTTATGGAAACAAATAGATACAATGTTTCAACCGCTGTATGGAAGGAATGTCCCAGAACTGTTAGAAATAGTCTATTTCTGACAGTTCTATTTCTGACAGTTCTGGGACATTCCCTCCATACAGCGGTTTTCCGGCAAAAAGTGTATGTGCAGAGTTCCACTATTCTGCAGATACACTTAGAGGAGCTCTGCAGATACACTTAGAGGAACTCTGCACATATTCGCGCACCCGAAGTAGGCAAAATTTCGGATTCGACGCGAATCGAATATTTCCTGAAATTCGACTCAAATTCCGGTTCGCCTGGTTCGATTCGCTCATCTCTAGTGTATATATATTTATCAATTTTAGAGCACTTGTCACTTTATGTTTCACCTGTTGGTATCTGATTTAGCTACTGGGTGGCAGATTGTTTGTTTAGGTATTGGAATCACTATTTATTTTATTTATTTAAGCATTTGTCACTTTTTGGAATTTATTAGTTATATGTTTATTACTAGAGATGAGCGAAGAAATGAAAAATTCGATTCGACTGATTCGGCGAATTCGTGGACAATATTCGATTCGAGTCGAATAAATTCGCTGTGAATTTAACTTAAAAAAAGGGTGTTTCTAGGCTTCAGAGAGACTTAATATTAGTGCAGAACACTGTACCTTTAATTTAAATGCCCTTGGAGTCTGCTGGGGAAGAGAAATAATACTGTCTGTCAGTATGACATGCAGATGAGTGCCGTCGATCTTAGAATCACTGCACACTTCACTCCTTTGGCCAGTCACGGGGCCAAAACCAGTGTTTGGAGCCACAGTGTGGCGGTGGAGGCAGCAGCAATGGGAGGCCATACAGCAACCTATGACAAAATGGAAACCAGCAGGAGCGTGAGGAGACCTGAAAGTGGCACATGGCAGAGTGGGAGCAATGGGAGGCGGTACAGGGACCCAGGTCACACTGTGGGCCCAGCAGCAGCGTGACCAGGCGGTACGGGGGCCCATGGCCGATATGGGGCTTGGTGGCACCTATGGAAGGCCTGTAATCTGCCAGCAACCTATGACAAAATGGACAACCGCAGGAGTGTGAGGAGATTTCAAAGTGGCAC